ACCGAACCGAACCAGAACGGTTCCATAATTAAATTTGGACCCGACGGTTTCACTTACTAAATACCAGAAAATTTCGGGTCGGTTCGGTTCTAACGAGAACCGAACCGGACCATATCCAGCCCTAGAGAGAGGTGGGTATCCACCGTCACTTTGGTTGATGTCTTTGATGATGATAGCCTTTGCTTCTTAGAAGTATGCCTAGTTATTTTTCCACATTCAGTAGGGTGTTCTTTAATTTTAACCCTGTTTTCCTTCTTCTTTTTTGCCCTCTTTTTTTTTTAGAGAGCCCAGAAAAAGAAATATAGCATCCTAGTAACATAATATTTTACTCTTGGAGCTAAATCTAAAATTTTGACATGGGATCTTTATAACTTTACCAATATATTGAAGATAGTACCTAGCTATTGGATTTGGATCTCTACTCTGATCATTTGAAGAAATCATTCACGACTATTCTTCACTAGTATTCTAATTGATCACTAGTATTCTAATTGAACTAATGACAATGTATTATATCATACTTCTATAGAATGATTCTTGTGAATAAATCTGAAAATAACTTTTGGAATTCCTTTTGACTTTTTTGTAAGATGCTTTATTCAATCAGTTGGCTGATTTTACGTCATGGTTATGTCTTGAATGTTATAAATGCTTGTTCAATAGTTTGTTTATTGTTTGACTTCATTTTGTCCTGGCAATTGGAGTTCCGAAATGTCTTGTATATTGATCTTTGTCTACCTATTTGTCTTTGAAGTTCAACTGAAGGATTAGAATGACTTCTTATGTGTACTGGCAATTGGAGTTCTGAAGCAGTTGTGTATTGATCTTTCTCTACCTAATTTCATCTGAAGATCAAGTAAAGGATTAGAATGTTTTCTTATGCGCAGTAAGCATGATGAGCATTAAGGATTGGGTTTTATCTCAATTAGTATCCACGTCACTAGCTTCATCGAGACCACTGTCAGCATCAGACAGCTTTTTATCCGAGGAACCACAAAATGTAGAGTTTGACAACGAAGGTATCACCTTTTCCTGGCATTTTATTTTTGTGGGTGTGTTGAGTGTGAAAATGGGAATCCGGTGTTTATGACCTTTTTTACATGCTCTCTTGCCCCTTTTTTTGCTGTCATTATTCGATTTACTTAAAAGAGTGATTATAGTGGAAGTGTAAAATTTATATGACCAGGTTAATATATAAAGATTTCCTTTTGTACTAGATTTGCGTCCTTTTGGGCATAGAAGAGGTTGTGACTAAAATGGGTTTATCATCGGAAGCAGCAAGCAATTTGCAGTTAATTTGGAATTATTCCACAACTACTCGTTTCCTTATGAGCTTGAGTACTCCAAAACATTCTTTTATCGTTTACTCTTTTGAGAACTATAGTAAGTTCATTTTTCTTAAAGAGTTGTTTTTTGTAAAATCTAAATAAAACTTTCAGTGATTTAAAATTGATACATCAACACCAGGGCATTTCCCTTGTTTATTATATAAACTGAATAAGGCACACCCTCGGATTAGCATACTAGCAGCAAAAAAAAAAAAAAAACTACCAAACACTACTTATGGTGCGGAAGTGATAGTAAAATTCTTGTACCAAGAATTGAAATAAGAAAATCTAGGAATAACTTGCTTGTATTGATTCGATAATGAATGAATGAATGAATGAAAATTGTACAATGTGTCCAATATTTATAGGCAAATTATCACTACTCCTAATGGTATTGGGAAATTGTAATAAGGAAATTAGGAAACTAATAAAATTTTAATCTAATTAAAACTCATATTCTACTCAATAAAGAAACTATAATTCTAATAAAATATAGAAGTTCTATTACAAAAAAACTAAGTAGAAAATAAACTCCTAAAAAAGATAAAACATATTAGTAGTAGGAAATCAATTGTAGTTGTGATGTACTACATCAATCCCCTTCACTTGAAGAAAACTCGTCCTCAAGTTTTGCTTTTGCAAGGAAAAGAAAATCTATCAATCTGAAGGAAAGTACTCAAAAATTTCTATTAATACTGATATTGAAGAAATTTCAATTTCTTGATATGCTCGATAAACGTTATTTTCTTCAATTTTATTGTTTGAAGGCAATTTTGCTTCCACCACGCTAATCCTATTTTCTTCATAGATAATTTCTACGTAACCTACCTTCATTAATGAAGTATGATTCGATTTCTCTTCTTCGGTCCGCTCTCGTAAATCAGTAATGGCATGAGTTTGCAAAGGTCGTGATTCCTACACCTCGTGCCTAGCTCATCAATTCTTGGTCCTGCCTGTTGTCGTCGTTGGTGATAAAAAATGAACTGGGTCTCTTGTGCAAGCCTGGATCGAAGTCTGGACCTATTCTAGTGTGCGTGTTCATGTCCACTGCAACCCTAAGGATTCCTCTCATTGAATCAATGTCTCCTTCGTCATCGCTAGAATCTAGGTTTGTCTTCTTTCTGCCAATCATCTTGTCTGTCAGGTTGTTCCTCCATGGGCTCGCGATTCTTCTCAACAGTCAACACAATCAGCATCTATGTGATTTTGCAAAGAGTCTCATGCCTACCCAATTGTTTTGCGCTGGACTCATGGTGATTCTCAATAATCATCGCAGTTAGTATCTGCATGATATTGCGAAGAGCTTCATCCATCCCATCTAGTCGTCGTTCAATTTTTTCAAACCTCTGTTCGTTGTCAGTGGTTTGCTTGCAACTCGAACCATCGTCAACCATCAGATTAAAGCAAGTCCTTGCTCTGATACCAATTTGGTGCGGAAGCGATAATAAAATTCTTGTACCAAGAATTGAAATAAGAAAATTTAGAAATAACTTGCCTACATTGATTCGATAATGAATGAATGAATGAAATTTGTACAATGTATCTTATATTTATAGGCAAATTATCCTTACTCCTAATTGTGTTAGGAAATTGTAATAAGGAAACTAGGAAACTAATAAAAGTCTAATCTAATTAAAACTCCTATTCTACTCAATAAAGAAACTATAATTCTAATAAAATAAAGAAGTCCTATTACAAGAAAACTAAATAGAAAATAAGCTCCTAAAAAGGATAAAACATATTAGTAGGAAATCAACTGTAGTTGTGATGTACTACATCAACTTACCTTTTTATATTTGCAGGCCAAACTACCAAAGCGCATACAGCTGCCAAGTCCTTTCAGTCCTGGGAAAACCATGTGACTAGACCAAAAGTACGCAAACACTTTATTCGAAAAGAAATCTTTATATATAACTCGGGTCATATAAATTTCACACTTCTTCTAAAATCTCTCTTCTAAATTAAACAATGGCGGTAAACACGTAAATAAAGTTCAGCCAATGACCAACAGTTGCAATTATCCCTATTGTGGTACTATAATTTGTTTAAGATTTGACGTTGATGATCATTGATCGACTCTATGGGTCTAAGGACTGTCTTGTGTGCTTCTGTTCTTGTGTTTGTGTTTGTTTGTGGTGCATCCAACGCACTCCAAAAAGGGGAGAGGAGTTCAACAAAAGGTTGTTAACTGACATGAACCGTGTTTACTACTTGAAATGATAGTTCTCATCTTAGTTTTTTAGGTTAGAAAAAAACAAATTAGTTTTAATCTTAGGGCCTGTTTGATACAATAAATTTTCCATGGAAAATTTTTCCATTTTCCACTCTTTTCCTTGTTTGACTGCAAAAATTTTCTTTGGAATTGATTTCCCCACCCCCACCCAAACCCCCCCAACGTGACCCCTTTTTTCTTGATTTTGTGGAAATTGATCTTCCATGGTTTGAGTGAGAAATCAATTTTCAGGTTTTTTTTTATTTTATTTATTATTATTATTTTTTTTGGCAATGAAAACAAATTTTATCCACAATTGTAACAAATTTTATCCTTTTATTTGACAATTTTTATGGAAAACAAAACCAAACAAACATAAATAAAATCCAAAATTTCAACATTTTTCAAGTGAAAAATTATACCAATGAAACACATTTAATTGATAGTTCCCAATAAACAAATTCTAAACAATTAAATTCCCTGAAAATCGTTATCTTTTCACCCAAATTTCATTCTTGTAATCAAACGGACTGGCATAGAAAATATTTCCTCGTTTTAAGGAAAATAAAAACCTACTTCCCCCAAAGAAGATATTTTCTTAAAAATAAGGAAAATTAAGCGTATTTTCAAAAGTTACAATTGAAAAAAATAGCAATCAAACACTCCAAAGTAGGAATTTGGATGGAAAACTGGTATTTTCTATGTAAAATAAATGCAATCAAACACTCATTTATCGTCATCGGCCAAAATAGGTTACTGATTTGATTAGGTTTTACTATATATATACCCTTATGTATTTTTTCTCCAATAAATAAATGACTTTTTACTTGTCAGATTGAATGATCTTTTTTTACTTGAGATCTTTTTATACTAACAGTGAAGGGCTGGTGCTTGGCTCACAGTTGGCTTTCTGCAAGTCTTCTGATGAGTTTGCTAAAAATATAATTGAAACCTCCAGTGATCCCTAGATTTATGACTGTCAATTAAGTTTTTTTACTTACTATTATTTCACACATCAGGTTTGGGTCACGTTACCACCAATTTGACCGCTTCACCAGCATCTGGCGAGATGTCTATCTCGTCCAATGATAATCAGACAAATCAGAGTTTCTCGTCTCAGCCTGTGGAAAATCCTTCTGTGTCTAATAGTAGCATTGAGAAGAAATTAGATTCTCTGGCGATGATTGAAGGTCTACAAATTATTTTTTTGCGTCTTCTTCAACGCCTTGGCTTGTCTCAAGATAATCTTATGGTGGCAAAGGTATTATATCGGATTCACCTGGCAACTTTGGTGCGAGCAGGGGAATCAGATTTGAAAAGAGCTAATCTCAGAATTGATAGAGCTCGAGCAGTGGCTGCAGAACAGGAAGCAGCTGGTCCACCTGAACTGGACTTTGCACTTAGAATACTTGTTTTAGGGAAAACTGGTGTCGGCAAGAGTTCAACTATAAATTCCATATTTGGTAATACAAAGGTAACAACTGATGCGTTTCAGCCTTCTACCGATCAAGTTCAAGAGATTGTGGGAAGTGTGAACGGTCTTAGAATAACTTTTATTGATACTCCTGGCTTGTTACCTTCCTCGACAAATAGCTCCGGGAAAAACAAGAACATTTTGCTTTCTGTCAAGCGATCTGTTAAAAAATCACGTCCTGATGTAATCCTGTATTTTGAGCGCCTCGACATGATCAATTCGAGTTATTGTGATTTTCCATTGTTAAAGCTCATAACTGATCACCTTGGCCCTGAAATATGGTTCAACACTATCCTTGTTATGACTCATTCCTCAGCAGCACTTCCAGAAGGTCCAAATGGGTATCCTGTAAGCTATGATTCTTATGTCACTCACTGCACTAATCTGATGCGACACTATATTCACCAGGCAATATTGGATACGAAGCTTGAAAACCCTGTAATTTTGGTGGAGAATGATCCATACTGTAAGACAGATGAGAGGGGGAGAAAGATTCTTCCAAATGGTCAGCGATGGAAGTCCCATTTCTTGTTAATATGCATATGCACCAAAATTCTTGGTGATGTCAATATTCTTTTGGGATTTGAAGACAGTGTACAACTGGGGCCTTTAAGTAATTCACGATTGCCTTCTTTACCTCATCTTCTCTCATCTTTTCTTAAACATCGAATTCAATTGAACCCAAATGCAGAAAATGATGAAATCGATGAACTCTCTCTTTCATACATGGACGAAGAAGATGAATATGATCGATTACCTCCTATTCGAATTCTATCTAGAGCCCAGTTCAAGAAATTGACTGTCTCTCAGAAGAAAGCTTATCTTGATGAGCTGGATTACAGGGAGACCCTTTATTTAAAGAAACAGCTGAAACAAGAATTTCGTAGAAAAAAAGAGGACAAAGAAAATGTTGGTGTGGCCTCTGATGACAGTGCTGATAACCAGGAGTCTCCAACGGCAGTCTTGTTACCAGACATGTCTGTCCCGCCTAGTTTCGACTCAGATTGTCCTGTGCATAGATTCCGCTGTGTCGTTACAGGTGACCAGTGGCTTGCGAGGCCGGTTCTTGATCCCCATGGATGGGATCATGATGTGGGATTTGATGGTATCAACCTCGAGACTGCTGCTAAAATAAGGGAAAATGTTGTTGCTTGTGTCACAGGACAAATGAGCAAAGACAAGCAAGATTTCAGTATTCAATCTGAAGCAACTACAGCTTTTACTGATCCTAGAGGCTCCATTTATAGTGTAGGTCTTGATGTTCAATCTGCTGGGAAAGAATTGGTCTGCACAATTCGCAGCAACACAAAACTCAAGAACTTTGATAACAATGTTGCTGAATGTGGTGTTTCTGTGACATCTTTTGCGGATAAATATTATTTTGGTGCTAAGATTGAGGACAGCTTCTCAATAGGGAGGCGACTGAGATTTGCAGTAGATGCTGGTCGGATGGGAGGAAATGGACAAGTGGCTTATGGTGGAAGTGTCGAAACTACTTTATTAGGGAAGGACTACCCTGTGAGAAACGAGAAGGCCAGTCTCTCAATGACATTCCTCTCATTTAACAAAGAGACAGTTTTGGGTGGCAATTTACAGTCCGACTTCAGATTGAGCCGAGGTACGACAATGTCAATGAATGCCAATTTGAATAGCCGGAAAATGGGCCAGGTTTCTATCAAGGTCAATAGCTCCGAACACCTGCAAATAGCTTTAGTTGCAGTTGTCTCCATTTTCAGAGCCCTTTTGCGGAAAAAGCCTGTTAATGATCTTGAAAGTAGAGAAGCTCTTGAAAGAGGATGATTTTTTCGTTTTCACTGATCTCCACTGTTCACTTCTCAAAATCGGAGAAATTCTCAAGCCTCGAAATCTGCAGGTAACTCTTTCATGTCAATTTTGATTCGGTAACTTTGTATGCTAGTGATATGAAGACAATGATTATATAGTATATTTTCCTATGGCTTTTGATGGTCAGAGAAGTTTATTAGCTTATTAGGTCTACTGAAGTGACAAAAATGTGAGGGCATAGAAAATACTCCTGTTATTTTTGTTATATGGAGAGTTAAATTTCAAAAAAGGTAAGAAAGATTAATCTTAATTGAGGAAAATGTTTCGTCGACGGTCTTGGATTAAATAATGTTGTAAGATATTTATGTCAACTTTTTTTCGTCATAGTTTTATCATTAATTTTTTTTTATTAGTTATTAGATTTTGTTCCTAATGATGATTTTCGTCCGAAATTTGGTTACTGTACTTTAAAATGAGGGATAAATATTTAATCGCAATTTTGAATTTACTGTTTTTTGTTTATTTAGAGTACGAGGAAAAAAAAGTCTTTTTACTTCTTCTCATTAAAACTTTTGGATAGGAATCGTCATCAAAGACAAAATGTTTTAATCAATAGAATGTTGAGGATAAACGTGTGATTAAAAAAAATGAGAATATATGTGACAATTAGCCCTTGTTTGTTTCCAATTATATGCCCAACCATAATTTATTTTTGAACCATTTAGCCGCAATGTTTGAATTCTTCCTTCGTAGTGGGTCCGAGCTGCTGGCATAGAAAGGGTCAAAAAATGGATTATTTTGATCAGGTAATTGGAAACAAACAAGGGCTTAATACGGATTTGAACCTTTCACGCGATTTATAATAAAGAAATGGGAACAGCAGAAGTTTCAAACTTTTGAAACATTAGCATATTTTCTCCAAATCTTTTATTCGTTGTAGCCATTACTCATAACCTTTTCAAACATTGCATATGAGGTTCATTTGGATGGTTTCCGTCAAAAAATTCCATCAATTGACCATCAAAATAAATTTTAACCATCTTTTAATCAATTTTAAAAGGGTAAAATAGTAACTTTCTATTTACCATATTAAACAATTAAAAAACTTAAATAAAAAATCCAAAAAAAAAAGAAAAAGAAAAGAAAAATGGATCTTATTCCCCATCTACCCTGCAATCTAAAACCAACAATAATACGCCCCCCCGGGCACATCCAAGTTGGTAAAGGAAGGACAGTGCGGGGCTCGCAACCCCAGCGTGGGGAGTTCGATTCCTGGTTGGAGCAGCTGAGTGTTGTAATAACCAGAGGAAGAGTTGGAGCAGCTTGGTGATGTAATAACCATGGAGAAGGCTCCCTTGGGGCCAGGAGTATAAAGGCTGTTCGAACCCTGGTCAACTTAGGCACATCCCGCGATTTACCTCCCTGAGCTGCTGAGGGGCCGAAAGTTCAGGGACTAGGATATAGTCTAGCGTAAGCTGGCACATCTCGTTAAAAAAAAATAATAATAAATAATAAAAATAAATAATAAAACCAACAATAATACAGCTCAATGTTATTCAACAGCCTCGAAATCCCGATATTAAACTTTCCCTTGATTTTCGAGAAGTCGCTTCCAATCCCCCCACCCCATTTGGATCCTCTACCGACTTATTCTCCGACTTTGGGTTGGATTGGGATTGCTGCGATTGTGGGGCTAGAAATGATGTGATGCCCCAAAAATGGTTGATGAGGATTTTACTAAGCTCCGACAGATCATCTTGGACACCATGTGATGGTGAAGTTGAAGACGGGCATCATTGTCCGGGTGTTGCAGGCTTCTGGATCCAGATTGGATCTTGTTAACAGCTCTGCCGTCATTGAGTTTGAGAGTGTTGGCTATGGATCGGGCTAACCACGACATTGCAAATTAATATAGGCGGGCAAGATATGCGTTCAGTTGACTTTGATTCTCCAGTCGTCGACGATGACTTTGGGTGGGGTGGAGTGGTGTGGGATGGGGTTTGAGAAGAGAGAGAGGGAGATCGGACAAGATTCTTTTCAATACGCTGTGGCTTGAGAGAGATGGCGGTGGCGATGAATTTATTATTGCTGGTTTTAGATTGAGGGGGTGCGTGGGGGTGGCGAGGGAGATCCATTTTTCTTTGCCTTTTGGTTTTTGATTTAAGTTTTTTTAATTGTTTAATGTGGTAAATAGAAAGTTACTATTTTACCCTTTTAAAATTGATTAAAAAATGGTCAAAGTTTATTTTGATGGTCAATTGATGGAATTTTTTACGAAAATCATCCAAAGGGGCCTCACATGCAACGTTTGGAAATATTAGGTTGACGACTGCAATAAATGAAATGTTTGGAAAAAGTCTGTTGATGTTTCAAAGGTTTAGGGCTTTTACTGCAATTTTTTCTAAAGAAAGGAAATATATGATTTTAATATATTTAACCAAAAAATTAGAAAAACCTACATAATAGAGGAAGATTTTGACATTAATCTTTAGCTAACATCGTTTAACTGGATAATGTTATGTTAGCTTGACTAAAAAGAGCATATATGATTTGAGGAAACAAATTATCAAACAAATTTGGTTGATAGTACTATGAAATTAGATCGAACCCAACACAATCGTAACTTATAAAATATCAAATATAAACATTTCGAAATCTAAACATGCAGAGCTAAATTTCACAATGGGGGTTCAATTAATGTCAAAAACTGTAATTGTCATATGTAGTTTTGTTTATTTTTGAAGAATTAAATCATTATCCGATAGTGAAGTCAACATGCCTAAAAGTATGATAGTCAAGTCAAGTCATTATATGAATTTTCTCTTCCTTTACAAGGGTCATATTCAACTATTTATACATAGTTTCAGCTAAAATTACATCAAATCAATCAAATCAACAACACTGCCGAGCTCGAAACTCGGGTCGCCGAATTCTCCTGTGATTGGTCAATGAGGCCGGTGGTCATGTGTCAATGTATTACCCAGGTAATGATGACCTATAAGGGGTTGGAGTTCGACGACTTGTAATTGGTTGTTTCGGGCGGCGATGACATCACCTGTGGCAAGTGTCTCTGATTGATAGGATGATGTGACAAGGGGTAATCATAATGTTTTTCTAAGATAACGGCGGGTAACTCTGACCTAGGAGTGTGGGTCGAACTTACGTTTAACTGAGGTGGGGTTAGCAAACTGTTTTTACCAGATCGGAGTTCAGATGTCAACAGTTACCCCCCAGGTCAGCTCTACCGTAGCGGGGCTGACCTCAATGATGCTTTCTCCAAGAAGTACATTTATGGATGTGACAAGTGTCATCTTTTGAGGTGGATGAGCTGTACGCCATTTATAAGTAGCTTCTTCAGCAAGCTTGGCCAAAACTACGTCGTTTTGTCTTCCAGACTTTTGGACCGTTGATATTTTCCCTCTATTCCTGGATGAATGGCTCAGATCGCGCCCCTCTCATCTTCCCTTTCTTTAAATTTGGTTTTGGTCAATCATTTCTCTTCCTATTTTCGCTGATTTTACTTTCTCAGATATTTGGGCGATTTCCCTAAGTTCGTATTCCCGTATTTTGAGTGAGGTCGTTTTCTCAGTTCGTCTCCCAGGTATCCTTCTGTTCTTACCTGCTGCCTCCTTTCAGTTTGTGCTTCTTTTCTTTATTTATACATGAGTTCGGACGAGTTTAGAGTTCATTCCTGGGGCAACCAGCAGGAAGAGTCAGTCTCCTTCTCGACGAGTTTGTCCTCTAGCTGTAGGAAGTTTTTACCCCCATTCCTATTTCCGTTGGTTTACCCAACTGACCTAGGGCATCCTATGATGGACTTAGGACGTGCGGGTTCCAAGAGAGCAGGTAGATTTAGTAAGGATGTAAAGGAGAGTAATTCCGACGAGTGGGGGGCGAGTTCTTATTGGTCGGTTGTGACAAGGGATGTGTTGGCCAGCTGGCGAGCTAAATACGTCATTCCTAGTTCGGTAGTTATGATAATACCAGAGCCATCTGATCGAGCTGACACTCTTCCTGAGGGATGCATTGCTCTGAACTCGGCTATCCTCCAAGCTGGCCTTAGGCTTCCTTTTCCTAGGATGATTTGTAAATTCCTTTCTTCTTGGGGCATAGCTCCCACGTAGCTATGCCCTAACGGGTGGCGAACTTTAATAGCCACCCTTATTCTATGGGACCAAATGGGGAATCCTAAGTTGAGTGTCCAGCAATTCGATTCTCTGTTTACTTTTAAGGAGGATGGGAAGAACTCGGGCTGGTGGTACACAAGCGTTAGGCCCAGGACAGGAGGTTCTTTGGTGTTAGACACCCCTTCCTCAATTAAGAAATGGAAGGAAGAATGGTTTTATGTATCGGGGGAGTGGCAGTTTCATTCTGTCGAGGTGAATAGGGAGGACGTGGTTCCCAGGCTCATCATTAGTTAGGTAAGTGTCTTTTTGGGTTTTAGTCTTTTAGCAAGGCGAATGTTTGACGAAGTGCTGACCTCGGTATTTTTCTTTGTGTAGATTACAAGAAGGAGACGTTAACCAAAGATACTCAGAGACGAGCTGAGAAAAAAAGATCTTTACCTAAAAAGCAAAGGTCCTGTAAGTTTGTAATCTCAGATTCGAACTTATATCAGGCCGGACTACTGCAAGTACGAGCTTTAAGTTCGGCTCCATCCAGTTCAGGTAATATTTTGATCTTCATTCGCGGTTATAATTTCTTTATGTATATACATATTTTTTGAGCATTTCGTTTTTCTCAAGTCATCAGAACGAAATGCTGGGCTATAAGGCAGCTAAGGCGGCGGCTGCAGCGAAGGGAAAAAAGAGAGAAGTCCCAGAACGGATGGAGAGCCGTTCTGAAGAGGTGGAGGAGGAGGTTCCGTTAAAGAGAAACCGGTCTGTGCCCCCGGCATCACTGAGAATTCCAGAGGCAGTGCCTTTGCCGAGCCCGACCCTTCCGTCCCCCTCGTTGCCATCCCCGATTGCCCCTTCTGCTGTGGAGACCAGTTTTGCGAACTTGCAGGATCGGTGCCCAGATTTACAAAGGCTGAGCTGGGAAAGTCTGGTGGGACACAGACCAGAGATATTTCTGGACTATCTCCGAGCTCCTTCTCCTTCCAGGGGCCGTTTGCCTGTGGATGGCTTGGTGATGAGAAATGTTTCTTGATGCCAAGCTCTTCGCAGAAATTCGAAAGTCGTGCGTTGTCGAACTATTTTTCATTATTCGTAACAATGGAGTGAGATATGCCGAACCTGCAGATCACTAATTTCCACAAAAAGTTGGTTGTCTTCTATTCGGTGATGGTGGCAAGGGGCTCTGCCTTGGCCCATTTAGTGAAGTAATCCACTGCGATGATGTCTAATTTTACACCTCCTTTTCCAACGGGCATGGGTCCAAATAGGCCAACCCCCTATTTTGCAAAGGGTCAGGG